CAGTAAATTAAAATATTTTAGAATAAATATATACTATTTTTAATGTAATACAGGTTAGATACAGTGGCAATATTAACTTGAATTTTAGAAACTTATAAAAACAAGCTGACTGTTGAAATTTGCATACATTCATATGATGTTCTTTAAATAAAAAAGGAAAAAAAATATAATTGCGGAGTTTTAGTTTTGATAAAAGTAAAGCATTAAAAAAGTTGACGATAAAAGAGACATATTCTATAAAAATTGACATAAGATGCATCTGATTGTATTATGAAATTGTTTGAAAACTGGTAGGAGTTTGTATACTAAATTCGAACATTGAAACGGACCACCAAACGCATTATTGCTGACAAATAATCAACTCCAACATAACACCACTTACCAACTCCTTCTAATCTCATGCTTCTAACATCAGAATCTGTTTTCGATATTAATTCAGTTATATCTTACCAAATTGTTTCATTCATATCAAAATGTATAAGGAAAGATTATATTTGAATTTTAAAGATAAAATATCACGTATTCTCTTGTAGATTCAAAAAGAAGAAATAAGAAAATAAAATAATAAAGAAATAAATAGCGTTTAAGAAGTCAATATTATTAAAAAATAAAAGATATTTTTTAGGAGAAAAAAACGTAAAGATAACAGAAAAGAAAAGAAGACGCGGCAGAGGTATGGTTCTCCCGCCACATAGATAGCAGATGCGAAGAAAGTGTATGAGAAGTCAGGTTTTGGCCACACGTGTTCCCTCCTCCACACCCTTCTCAATCTCTCTCCCTATAACACTCCACACTATATTTCACCGTTACTTTCTCTATTTATTTATTATTATTTTTTTATTTATGTATTTATATATATATATATATATATATATATATATATATATATAATAATTCGTAGAGAAGTTTTCTCTCTCTTTCTCTCTCGCTCGTTACCGCGAACTCGATCGGCATCGGCACCCACACGAGGGGAAACGCGATTTCCTTTTCCCTTCGCTAAACAAACAAACAAACTCTTTCTCTTCAGGATTCCAAATCCATCCCTGTAAGGTTTCTATTTTCCCCAATTTAGGGTTTCTCTCTCATTCCTCTCTTCAATTTCTTCTTTNTCTGCTTATGTTTGTATTTTGTATGTGTGATGCTTTTCTTTTGCAATGATCATCCGATGGATGTGAGAAAAGGGGGATGAGATGCCTCTGGAACAGGCTTTGGAGGGAGATGATGCTGCTGTTTAGCTTAGTTTAGTTAGGTTGCTATTTTGGTGTATAGTTTTAGAATACACTCCTGTAAATAAAGTTTTAAATTCTACGGTTATTTTGGATGATTGTAAAATGTGACATCCCCAAAATATACGACATGCATATATAATAAAGACGTCATCAAGTTATAATATTGGAAAGCAGTTAGAGACATATAACAGAATATTGGGATTACAGTCATCCTTACAATACAATGGAGTTAAATCTGGAAGTTTTAGAGTCCTCCAACATACCAAGGATTCTACATATTAAGGTTTTTCAAAACACGTAAGGAAATTGTAATGAAATTAGGATTCAACGTCATCTTCCTCCAACGCCTACTCCAGGGGCATCTCCTTGACATCTGCTCCCATCCAAGTGGATGATCATCGTAAGAGGAAACACACACAAACATAGTACAAACACAAACAAGCAAGGGTGAGCTAATTATATAAAAAGCATACGATATGACAATATGTGCATGCAAGAGTTAACTTCAATCAAGCAAGATAAACACGCATCCTAACATCTTGAGTACTAGACTTGACTCGTTTGGACTTTAGAATGATAGTCGAGCTATGGCGGGTCTTGCACTCATGATGGCTTATGATACTTAGGTTCCCCACCCTACCACACTCACGAGGTTAGCCTATTCCGGGCCTTGAGGCGTACTGGAAGCTTCCAAGACTAAGACCTCCTACTACTCCTCACCACATGGTTCAATCCTCTCTACGTGAGAAGAAAGACCATTGGAGTTTCAGGATGACCCCCAAGACTGAGCTCCTACATTCATTCTAAACATACTTGAATCTCAACAAGAGAATTCACTATGGATCACAACATGAGACACCACCATGTAACCCCCCTGTGATGTCCATGGAATTACGTCCATCAAACATACTTTGAAAATTACATACTTTCACTTTTACATTGCATACAAACATAGATATAATACTAATTATACTTCAAAAGACCACAAACAACTTAATAAGTCATCAAAAATCACATGAAACCATTCCATGTACATTAATAGACAATAACAGTCCAAGAAGAGCCACTAAACAGTACAAAAACCCCTTAAACTCATACTTAGACAAGAAAAATAACTTTGAAACCATCACCAACAGTTCCGGAAAGGCCCAAAACCCCTAAAACGACCATAAGAACGTCAAAAAATGATATCCGGAACCCCGAAAACCACCCAAAACTGTCCTGGATGATTTTTCGACGATAATAATCGATTATCATACATAATAATCGATTATTAACGAGAGCTTTGAAGAAAATACGACTTTCTGACTAGAATAATTGATTATCAAGTGAGATAATCGATTATTCTTATCAGTTTTTGACAGCAACGTGATTTTGCTGGTTTTGGTGCATCTTAGACATATCCAAATGAACAATTTAGAATCTGTAACACTAATATTGATATGAAACATGTTTATAGACGAAAGTAAAGTATTGCATTGGTCATTTGGATAGGAATTAGATGTACTAAACCAACTCAATTTCTACTCCAAAATATCAAACTCAATAACTAAAGGACCCCAAACCCAATTCTAACACTTTGTGCCTATTCTGACCAATTTGGTGACTCAAACAAGTCACAATCCACTTGCTAAGACTGCCCCAATAGCCCAATTATACCCAGAACCCCTAACTCTCAAATTCACAATCTTACTTCCTCCAAAAGGACCTAAAACACTACCGAATCACCAAGTTTTCTACCTAGCTAAAGTTACAACAGATTTCACACTCCAAATCAATTCTAACATGATCCAATACAGTAATTAAGTTCATCAAACTCACTATAAAGCAATCAATCACAACTCCATCAATTACACCATTCAATTCAAACCATCCTATATACTTAAAATCCAAAGTATCGTACAAAACCGCACGACAATCCAAAATTCAACATGCATTCATTTACAAAGCAGATTCAAGAAATAAATTCAAAGAAAAATATTTAGCTCCTCTTACCTTGGGTTCTCACAGTACAACTCACAACAACAACTTCACAGAACCTTTCACGGTAAAACGCACAATACCCTACATCCACCAAATTGGTGATAGAAAACAGCTCTTAGAGCTAGAATGAACAGAGGAAATGGAAAGGAATATTTCTAGCTACATGCAACCAGTAGATATGCATGCCCTAGGTTCCAAAATAACGGAGGAGAAAGGGGAAACGACTTACCCGCTGAAGAACGAGAATCTAATCGAATGGATAGGAAACTCTCAACTCCGGGAACGCAGGAACACCACCTATTTGACAATGCAACGGTTGAAATTTGTGAAAGGGTAAAGAGAAAGCAGAGGAAGAAGAAAGGGAAACTGAGTCTAGAGAGAGATGGAAAAGGTGGCTAATGAACCAGGAAAAAGAAAAATAAGTTTATACTATAAAAGTATGATGTCTTTAATTTTTATTTTCAGGTCTTACATAAAATTTTATACTTTATTTCCTAGTATTTAATTGTTCTATTTTATTATTTATGTGACTACTATAGTTTATTATTTTATTTTGGGATGTTACAATGTCTATATTTAAAAAGTATATGAAATACATATGATATAAGAGAAATGAATATGCATTTTAAAGTTAAAATCAAGGAATATGATTGTTATTTAAAATCAGAAAATTGATAGAATCTTTTCTTTTGTTTAAATTGCAAAATATAATGTCTCGAGTCTCATTAGCATGATATGCCAAAAATATTTCTTAAACAATTTAATTGATAGAAAACAAGTAAACAAATATTTCAACTTACATAAAATTAAATTCTAACAATATCAAATATACTCTAAATATCTACACGCATAAAAACAATAAAAGTAAAATTTGAATTTCAGTAAATTAAAATATTTTAGAATAAATATATACTATTTTTAATGTAATACAGGTTAGATACAGTGGCCAGTATTAACTTGAATTTTAGAAACTTATAAAAACAAGCTGACTGTTGAAATTTGCATACATTCATATGATGTTCTTTAAATAAAAAAGGAAAAAAAATATAATTGCGGAGTTTTAGTTTTGATAAAAATAAAGCATTAAAAAAGTTGACGATAAAAGAGACATATTCTATAAAAATTGACATAAGATGCATCTGATTGTATTATGAAATTGTTTGAAAACTGGTAGGAGTTTGTATACTAAATTCGAACATTGAAACGGACCACCAAACGCATTATTGCTGACAAATAATCAACTCCAACATAACACCACTTACCAACTCCTTCTAATCTCATGCTTCTAACATCAGAATCTGTTTTCGATATTAATTCAGTTATATCTTACCAAATTGTTTCATTCATATCAAAATGTATAAGGAAAGATTATATTTGAATTTTAAAGATAAAATATCACGTATTCTCTTGTAGATTCAAAAAGAAGAAATAAGAAAATAAAATAATAAAGAAATAAATAGCGTTTAAGAAGTCAATATTATTAAAAAATAAAAGATATTTTTTAGGAGAAAAAAACGTAAAGATAACAGAAAAGAAAAGAAGACGCGGCAGAGGTATGGTTCTCCCGCCACATAGATAGCAGATGCGAAGAAAGTGTATGAGAAGTCAGGTTTTGGCCACACGTGTTCCCTCCTCCACACCCTTCTCAATCTCTCTCCCTATAACACTCCACACTATATTTCACCGTTACTTTCTCTATTTATTTATTATTATTTTTTTATTTATGTATTTATATATATATATATATATATATATATATATATATATATATAAATTCGTAGAGAAGTTTTCTCTCTCTTTCTCTCTCGCTCGTTACCGCGAACTCGATCGGCATCGGCACCCACACGAGGGGAAACGCGATTTCCTTTTCCCTTCGCTAAACAAACAAACAAACTCTTTCTCTTCAGGATTCCAAATCCATCCCTGTAAGGTTTCTATTTTCCCCAATTTAGGGTTTCTCTCTCATTCCTCTCTTCAATTTCTTCTTTCTTCTTCTATCTTCTCTCGGACGCCACTTTGCGAATTCCTTTCTTCCTATCCTTTTTTCTACGATTATATTAACTCAATCTTCCCTTCCCCTTGCAATCCTCAGGCCTATCTGTTGACGAAAAAAAAAAAAAAAAAAAAAAAAAGAAAGAGAGAGTAGGGATTTCCTTTTGTATTTTTTGTTCTGTGGATAAATTCGATTCTGTTATTCGTCCTATCATCATATTCTAGCTGTTGGTTTTTTAGAGAGATTAATGTCAATTGCTTTATTATGCAAGAAACTCTGTGAAGTTTTTGGTGCTTTGTTTTAGTTTGCCATCCGAAATCGAGGGTTTTCTTGTTAGATCTCAGCCAGGGCCACAGTTTTTTTTATTTTTATTTTTTTTTGTGGTTTTCATATTTTTTTTCTTTTTCTTCTTGTTCTGGTGTCCTTCCTTTTCTGGGAAGGAGAAGAAAAAGAAAGGACCTCGAGAAAAAAATTAGGGTTTGGTTATTGGTTTAGGGTTGTGTACATACATAGGTAGATAGATACATGCGATGGCGTTGAATTTCTCGCATCGACCGATTTTTTCTGAGGATAATTTGGTGTCGTCGATGAGGATGGGGATTCCGGAGAAGAGCGGTGTTGATAATTGCTATGATTACGGAAGAGATAGGTGTGATAGGGGTGGTGGTGGTGCGACTCACGATGACATTGTCGATCTTTTGCCTTCGGATCCCTTCGGCATGGACATCAGCACCACCTTCACGGCCATCACCGGTTGGCTTGAGGATTTGGAGGTTGATTATGGTGGTTATAGAAGGGATGAGCTTGGGGCGAGTGATGACAATTACCAGCTTTTTGCTGGGTTGAATTTCATTTGGAACAATGCTATGAGGTTCCATGCGTGTGTTGAGGAGAAGATGGGGTTTGGCGAGTGTAGTTCTCTGAGTGACGATGGAGCTGCTGCTGCATCGAGCAATTTTGGGGTTGGATCTGCTTCTGATGCTGATTTATCGGGTTTGCCTGCTACTAGCGGGTCGGATGATGTTTTTAGACGGGGTGATGACGACCTTGAAGGAGGAGGTGGGGGTGATGAATCTGGTCCTCACCCTGCCTTGAGTTATTCTCTTGGTTATCTGGGATTGTCTGATCTTCTTGTTGTCGAAAGAGTTTGTAAGTTTCTGCATTCCACGGTTCATGATGATCCGCTTTTGTGGAGGAGTATCCACGTCGATCAGCCTTTGAATGAGAGGATAACTGACGATGTTCTTTTCCGATTGGCTAACAGGGCTCAAGGTAATCTTCAGTGCTTGAGCCTTGTTGAATGTACCAGGATAACTGATGATGGTTTGAGGCGGGTTCTTGAAAGCAATCCCAAATTAACCAAGGTAAACACGCGTTACCATACTGTGTTTGTGAATTCCACATTGAAACTAAAATTCATCTTAAGCATCTGTATGTGGTTTTACGTGTAAAATTAATTTGGATTATGTCAGATGGTATTGTTGTTTTATTTTAGTTATTCGTTGAATGTTCCTTTTACACAGCAAGATGGTTAAAAGTGTCTTTCGGGAACTGGTGAAGTAATCATCAGATAAAAAAGTCTCTTTTAGTCTAATTATAGAACCTTGGCCGTGTTTTCTGTACACTTTGGATATGGTTCTCGGGAATTTTATTTATTGGAATTTTTTACCCAAGTTAGCATGCCTTTTTTCTCTTTTTTAATATTTTATTTGCCTGTATATCGTGCGTGAAATATTTGGCCTTTTTCATTATCATTGCTTATTGCTTATTGTCTCTATACTTTATCAGTTATTGATAGAGGCATGTATGGATTCATTTAGGTTTGGGAAATGCTTTATTTTTGTCCAAAACAATTAAGCAGTTTTTCCTTTTGACCACAACTGTATATTTGTGCTGGTAATTTGCTGACCTAACCGTCCTGTCATTATTTTCTGTTGCTATTTGTATCTATTAATGGATGAATTGGTAGAAAATGTGCTATATACTTTTGAAGGAATTAAACCCCTTATTTTGAAGGGAAGACGTGAAATAAAAGTGAATCATATATCTAGTTGGGGCAATTTAATTGTTAACTGTCAACGTTGATTCATTCAAGCTTATTTTAATGTTGAGATGCAATCAGTTTGAATAATTCTCATGAATTTATTACATATCTTGTCTTTTGTTATTGGTGATGTTTGTCATTGTTTCATGTATCATATGATTTATTGTTGGTCTGCTTTATAATCCCCCCTTCTTGTCAACTGTTATTGCACTAATTACCCTAAGCGTTAAAATACTTGAGAGCTCAGCCGTATTTTTCTTTTGTCCATATTATATTATAAACCAAGTAAAATTTTCTCCAAAATCTGTGCAGTTGAGTGTCCCTGGATGTACAAGACTCAGTATTGAGGGTATTGTGGGTATGCTAAAAGCCTACAACTCTGTGGGTCCCCAAGGGGTGAAGCATTTATACATAGGAGGTCTTTATGGTGTTACACTAAAGCATTTTGAGGAGTTGAGGTTCTTGTTGGGTGCTGATAGCCGGCAGCAGATGCGGCAGTCTCATAAACCTCACTTCTATCGCAGGGGAAATTTGTATCTGTCCTGTAATGATGATCGAGCCATGGATATTGAAGTTTGTCCACGATGCCAGAATTTGAGGCTTGTATATGATTGTCCGGCAGAGAGTTGTCAAGGGACGGGACACACCACTCAGATGTGCAGGGCATGCACTCTATGCATACCCCGGTGTAGTCAGTGTGGCCACTGTATCAATGACAGTGAATATGAGGAAACATTTTGTTTGGAATTGCTTTGCTCTTCTTGTTCTAAGCAGCTAGTAAAATGTTCAGATGGAAAGGCCGGACCAGCTAAGTCAGTTATTATTCATGAACAAAGCTAGAGTTGTTGTCAAAGTATCCTGTGAAAAGTCTGAGAAAAAGTTTTATATGGAAGTCATATGAAGCGTTCGTTGAATGCTGTTAGAGTTCTTTGGCGTTCTTTGTAATTGGTCTTGGAGGTGGGATGCATTTGATGGGTATTTTCCTTTCGTAGAGAAAGTGGAAAATGACTCCATTTTTGTGTTTCCGCAGCTACCGGAGTGCAACCTGCAGGAATGAACTTGATTGCCATGATTATTGAACACGTATTGCACACTATGGATTTTCAGTTATATTGTGATTAAGAGGTTATGAGAGCTGCAGTTGGGTGTTGTGCTTTGCAACGTTGCATTCGGATAACAGTTGTGATTGGCTCGGATGCATAACCGGTGGGAACACTCTGATCTTTAGACTTTGGTTATTTTTTCATTTGCTGTATTGAATAATTGACTATTGCTATGTTGTGGTGTTCGTACCCTGTTTTATTTTCTTTTCTTCCATCCTTGGAGGAGAAAAATAAGGAAAGTGGTATTATGATGTCATTAAATCCACGCTTATGTCACTTTCAGCATTAGCTTGTATAAATGAAATGCATTTATGGTGGACTTGGACTTGAAAATGAATGCTATTTATTATGTACTTTAAGCATTTCCTGGGAAAAATATGTTTGTCACTTGTTTTTAACGCCCAATGTCGGAAGAAGTGGTTGTGTGGGCATCTATTTTGGCTTGATTAACATTTAATTGAACAGATAAAAGCTTGCTCTGGCCTTGTCTTTCGTAATTCCTGTGAATGTAACATGTTCCATACTTATAGACATGTATAAGAGTAGCGACATTAACTCTTGTTTTTCCTCCTAAGATGATTGCATTAAACAAATGTGAAGAAACAAATGTTTGCTTACACATTTCTGCCACGGCAGTCTACGTTACACCAAGAATAGCCAGCTACGTTGGCCATTTTTGCGTAGACGGGCTTCCTATGAAACATAAGAAAACTTGGACAGCAAGGTATTACATTCTTAAAATGTTTTGCTTTGTGGTTCTCGGGGAATTGGAGAAACCAAGGCATAGTGGCATAGATGAAAAGGTATGGTGAAAGTCATTCAAAAACCATGAGTTACGTTTTTGTTGCCTTGTGTTGGGAGGGATCACTACGAGTGTGTTTGCTTTCACGTTCAAACCACCTTAAAACCCCATCGGCATTCAGAAGTGAACTCGAATTTTCAGATACTTTCTTACTACACGTAGAAGCAACATTCCGTTATTTAATAAATGATTCCAATCATAGGAGTATGGTGAAAGTCATTCAAAAACCATGAGTTACGTTTTTGTTGCCTTGTGTTGGGAGGGATCACTACGAGTGTGTTTGCTTTCACGTTCAAACCACCTTAAAACCCCATCGGCATTCAGAAGTGAACTCGAATTTTCAGATACTTTCTTACTACACGTAGAAGCAACATTCCGTTATTTAATAAATGATTCCAATCATAGGATTTTGATTTGAGACAGTAGGAACAAGTTTTGGAATTTAAAACAATACAAGTACAATCTAAAGGTTGGAATGACGAAAGGAAATGGAGCTGAAAAATAAGTAAATAAGTTACTAACAATGCCTTTAAATTTACAGTATGAATAAATATTCAAGAAAACTAAACTTGGTTGGATGGAAGTAAGGTGGACCACTTGAATTTGGAAGCTTCATGTTCTTTCTTCAAGATAAATGTCAAAAGTTGAATTATCAGTTTATCTATATGAATTAAAATAAAACTCAATCACAATTGTCAAATTCTCTCACCGAAAGAAGGAAGATGACTATTTATAGTCTAGTTCAACCTAAAATGAAAAATGCAATCGTTTAATCAAATTTTCTTGCTCACATGTTTTATTTGTATCGTCCTTTGATCTTGGCTTGCATTTTATCTTGGCTGGCATGTTTCTTCGGTTTTTATCTTAGCTTGTATGTTTCTTCGGTTGGACTTGAATAAATTAATATTTGATTGAAAATGTATTTTAGTTAAATTTATTATAATTAATCTTCTTGTTTTTAATTGAAAATATATTTGTCTAATTAACAGTGAGAATGTCAATAAATTAATTAAAAATTTACATTAATTAATTTAAAAATTTAAGATAATAATTAATAGAACAATAATTTTTAAATAATCAAATGATGAATCCTATTTTGAAAAGGCAATTAAATCAACATATTTTCTTTTATTATTATTTTTATCTTTTTCTAATTTTATTTTTTTTATTTTAATTTTTTTATCTAATCTCTTATTTATTTTGTTTATCTTTATTTTCTTTTATTATTTTATTTGACTAACTTCTATTTTATCGTTTTTATAAGAACAAATTTGTTATAAATCAATTTTATATTTGTTGGAAGACAACTTGAGGTTAACTTTATCCTTTCTATTTTGTTGACCACTATTTTAGAAATACTGAAATTGCTATAATTTATTAGTATTAATTTGATTGTGTCAATGACAACGTTATCAAACCACTATTATCATATATGCATCTATCCAACCACATTGTTAAGCATACAAATTTTAAATTGGTGAAAGATATTATGTAACCAATGATAATAATTGATTTTACCGTTATCTGTGATGTAATTTTGATACTAAATCAACTCTCTTTGATTGTGAAGCTTGCTTAAACTATTGTTTTTAGTTGAATTTTGTGAATAAGTTAATTGAGGTTATACTTAATGATTTTTATAACTAATTCCCTCAATTTTGTAGGTTATTGGTATGTTTTGGAAGAGGAGCAAAGTATCAAAGAGTTGCAACCCAAGAAGGACAGCAGAAGCACCAGAATAGAAGGCTGGAGAAGGCTCAAGGACGCCTGGTTGCCCTTTTCTGAGGCCTTGGGCACTGTTGTCATGCAATCACGCCTCGTTGCTGATAACCGTTGATTTTATCATTATTTATGATGCAATTTTGATACTAAATCAACTCTCTTTGACTTTGAAACTTGCTTAAACTCTTGTTTTTAGTTAAATTGTATGAATAAGAGAATTGAGGTTATACTTAATGATTTTTATCACTAATCCCCTTTATTTTGTAGGGTATTGGTATGTTTTGGAAGAAGAGCAAAAGTATCAAGGAAGTGGAACTCAAGAGGGACATCAAAAGCACCAGAGAAGAAGGCTGAAGAAGGCGCAAGGCACCTGCCCTTTTTTAGGCTCCTCAAAGCAGGTTGGCTCGCATGGACGTTTAGTTGCCCTCTTCAGAGGCCCTCGGCGCTGAGGTTCACGCATCATCGCCTAGTTGCCCTCCCGGGGGTGCTGAGCGCTAGTCTGTTGCACCGCAAGATGCCTGGTTGCCCTCAACCAAGACCCTCAGTGCTAGTCTTCTCGCAGTTGCGCCTGCTTGCCCCTATTTGGGGGCGCTGAGCGCCACTCTTCTTGTAGTGTCGCTGGCTTGCCCCTATCCAGGGTGCTCAGCGCTAGCTACATGTCACGCAGCTCGCCTGGTTGCCCCACTTAGGGCGTTGAGTGCCAGTGATGTTGGCTCATGATCCATGTTTGATCTATTTAAAGGCTTTTACACATTATGGTTCATATCTTTGGACGACTGAAGCAAAGAGACACAATTTTCGACCCTTTGGAGGCAGATTGGGATGTGTGAGCTTTCCTTTTCACTTTCTAGGGTTTTCATTCATTCATTCTTTCATTGTACACCAAGGTTCTCCATGACAATGGAGAGCTAAGTTCATTTGTTGTTGGGGATGATGTAACCTCTAAACTTTTATGTATTTGAAAATGTTTTAAATAATTTATGCTTCTTTCATTGAATGTTAGTGATTTTCTCCTNTAACTTCTATTTTATCGTTTTTATAAGAACTAATTTGTTATAAAATAATTTTATATTTGTTGGAAGACAACTTGAGATTAACTTTATCCTTTCTATTTTGTTGACTACTATTTTAGAAATACTGAAATTGCTATAATTTAGTAGTATTAATTTGATTGTGTCAATGACAACGTTACCAATACACTATTATCATATATGCATCTATTCAACCACATTGTTAAGCATACAAATTTTAAATTGGTGAAAGATATTATGTAACCAATGATAATAATTGATTTTACCGTTATCTGTGATGTAATTTTGATACAAAATCAACTCTCTTTGACTGTGAAGCTTGCTTAAACTGTTGTTTTTAGTTGAATTTTGTGAATAAGTTAGTTGAGGTTATACTTAATGATTTTTATCACTAATTCCCTCAATTTTGTAGGTTATTGGTATGTTTTGGAAGAGGAGAAAAGTATCAAGGTGTTGGAACCCAAGAAGGATAGCAGAAGCACCAGAATAGAAGGTTGCAGAAGGCTCAATGACGCTTGGTTGCCCTTTTCTGGGGCCCTAGGCACTGGTTGCCACGCAATCACGCCTGGTTGTTGATAATCGTTGATTTTATCGTTATCTGTGATGCAATTTTGATACTAAATCAACTCTCTTTGACTTTGAAACTTGCTTAAACTCTTGTTTTTAGTTAAATTATGTGAATAAGAGATTAAGGTTATACTTAATGATTTTTATAACTAATCCCCTTTATTTTGTAGTATATTGGTATGTTTTGGAAGAAGAACAAAAGTATCAAGGAAATGGAACTCAAGAGGGACATCAAAGCACCAGAGAAGAAGGCTGAAGAAGGCGCAAGGCACCTGGTTGCCCTTTTTTAGGCCCCTCAAAGCAGGTAGGCTAGCATGGACGTCTGGTTGCCCTCTTCAGAGGCCCTCGGCGCTGAGGTTCGCGCATCATCGCCTAGTTGCCCTTCTGGGGGTGCTGAGCGCTAGTCTGTTGCACCGCAAGACGTCTGGTTGCCCTCAACCAAGACCCTCAATGCCAGTATTCTCGCAGTTGCGCCTGCTTGCCCCCATTTCGGGCGCTGAGTGTCACTCTTCTCGTAGTGTGTCTTGCTTGCCCCTATCCAGGGCGCTCAGCGCCAGCTACATGTCACGCATCTTGCCTGGTTGCCCCACTTAGGGCGTTGAGTGCCAGTGACGTTGGCTCATGATCCATGTTTGATCTATTTAAAGGCTTTTACACATTAGGGTTCATATCTTTGGACGACTGAAGCAAAGAGACACAATTTTCAACCCTTTGGAGGCAGATTGGGATGTGAGAGCTTTCCTTTTCAGTTTCTAGGGTTTTCATTCATTCATTCTTCCATTGTACACCAAGGTTCTCCATGACAATGGAGAGCTAAATCATTTGTTGTTAGGGATGATGTAACCTCTAAACTTTTATGTATTTGAACATGTTTTAAATAATTTATGTTTCTTTCATTGAATGTTAGTGACTGTCTCCTATTCGTAATGCTTGTCTTGTTTTGGCCATTCATGACTTGATGTTTGATTTGTTTAAGTATTGGAAAATATCTTATTGTTGATATTGTTGATAGGGGGAGCACTAGTTTAGCTGAACCTACAATCTCAGAGTTTTTGGTTTTTTATGATGACAACACATAATTAATAACACATGTGTTTATGTGTTACATGTTCATCACTTTCATGTTTATGACTATTTGAGAACATATTTGTGTTGATTATGTCATTGCTGCAATTCACTGTGTTTTACATGAGATCTTATCTGTGGATGCATGACATATATTTTAGAAAAG